TATCCAGAGAATCAGTGACACCAGAGAGGGAGGCAGAAATGGGGACATGGAGAGAGGAAGCGGCTGAGGACTCTAGATTCACGGGAAGAGAGGGACTAAGAGATAGTGGCCAGGAGGCAGACGTGCAGAATGTGCTCTTTGGTAGTGTAAATTACTATATGTGCCTGAGTGCTTTAAAAAAACCTCCAAAACCTTAACTGATGGTACGTGGAGGGGTTTGTAATCATTGTGATGAAATAAGTTGTATGATTTGTTGAATGTAAAACTGATGATCTGCCCTGTAATCTTTCACTCAATCCACAATAAAAACTTAAAGAAAAATTATCCCAAAATTAAAAATTGTAAAGAGCAGGCTTGGTGATCAGATGGAGAGTCGTGGCACCTCTAAGTGTATAGCTCTTATTCATTCTTCAGGCCTGCAACTAAACTCACCATCACTGCTTAACTCGGAGTCACACTCTAGGGGAAAATAACACCAAGAAAGTATGCATTTCTTCAAACAGTCAGCCATATGAAATCAGAAGGGTAGCATTTGCCCAGGAGTTAAGCTCAGAAGGCAGGAATGGATAGGAAAGAAGGGCAAATGGGGAAAAAAATGTTCAGGAAGGAAGTGGGAAGAGTGTGCTTTACATTGTGGGGACTACAATCAAATGTGTTAGAATTATTAATGGAAAACCAATTTACTCTGCATACTTTAATTCACATCACACTAGAAAAAAGAAAAGAAAAACAATAAATTCTGATCAGTCTCAGAATTGTACTGAGAATTATTGTTTTAAGTCAAGTCAGTTCTGATTCATAGAGACCTGTATAAGGTTTCTGAGGAGTGGATGATGGGTTTGAACTGCCAACCTTGCAGTTAGCAGTTCAGTACTTATTCTACAGTGCCACTCCAGGACTCTCATTTAACTAAGGTTCTGGGGAAGTTAAACGTAGCTATGTAGATGTAATGTCATGGCTCTATTACTGAGTATGGAATCGAGTGAGGACACAACAGTGGAGTTTGCATTCAGTGTACCATGTGGCAAGTTTTGTTGGAGGGTATGACCAGGAGGGACAAAGGAACAAGTCTTATGTTAGCACAGGGGCTGGCTGCATGATCTTTCCTGGAGGTCTCCAAGAAGGTTTCTCAAGGAACACTGCATAGGAACGCCAGGTAGGAGGAGAGCCACAGGTACCGAGTAATTTGGCATTGCTTGAGAATAAAGTGGGCCAGAGCTTTGACAGCGGAGTCCTTGCATAGGATTGACGTAAGGGAAATTCTGTATTTCTGCCTGAGGTACACCTTTGTCCCTGTAATGATAGCACCTCAGCAGGTGTTTAACTGGTTTACACAGATCTGTGTTTAGAAGATGGAAGTAAAGGTAGCCAAAGGGAGCAGTGACCAATTACAAGTTTCAGCGTAGTGGTTATGAATTGGGCTGCGAACGGCAAGGTCAGTAGTTTGAAATTACCAGCTGTTCCGTGGGAGAAAGAGGAGGCTTTCTGCTCCCGTAAAGATTTACAGCCTCGGAAACCCTGTACAGGGTCACTATGAGTCGGAATCGACTCCACGGCACATAACCCTCCCCCCCATAGCATAGTGGTTACGAGTTAGGCTGCTAACATCAAGGTCAGCAGTTTGAAACTACCAATATTTCCATGGGAGAAAGATGAGCCTTTCTGTTCCGTAAAGATTTACAACCTTGAAAACCCTGTGTAGGGTCACTGAGTTGGAACCGACTCTACAACACACAACCATCACCCACCTTTACAAGAATCGGAAGTCCTGGTGTGGCGCTGTGGGTGAATGTGCTAGACTTCAAGGTCAGTTTGAACTAAAAGGTTGGTTCAATCTCACCAACCACTCCTTGGAGACCTTATATAGGGTTGCTGTGAGACCTTATATAGGGCCGCTATGAGTCAGAACCGACTCGACAGCACTTAACAACAACAATTACAATAATCTAGGCAAAATACAGTGAAAACTGAAATCAGTAACTCTAGAGAAAGGATGGATCCTTCTTCAGTGTCTGGGTAGTTTTGAGAGATTAAGATGAACTGCAGCTAGGAGAGAGTTCATTTTCTAGGAAAGAATGCCTTAGTCTACTATTGTAGTCTAGTCAGTTCCAACTTTTAGTGACCCCCTGGTAGCATAATGGTTACAAATCGGGCTGCAAACCTTTCGGTCAGCAGTTCAAAACTACCAGCTGTTCCACGGAGAAAGATGAGGCTTTCTACTCCCGTAAAGATTTACAGCCTCAGAAACCCTGTACAGGGTTACTATGAGTTGGAACTGACTCCACGACACATCAGGACCACAATAGGATAGAGTAGAACGCAGTGCAAGGACCATGGGTCTGAAGAACTTATGGCTCTTCTTGATTATAGTGACATCCTCTGTGAGACTGGCTCTTTTATAAGCCTCCTCTTCCCCCCAACACCACAAACTGACTAACCTCTTAGGTAAGTCACAGACACCATATTCCCATAGTAAACTGTCCAATCCCTGCAAAGGGTTTCACCCACCTTATTTGCATAGTTAACTGTCCAATCCCTTTGTAAAATTGTGGCCTAGAAAATCATCTTGGCAAAACTGTGAACCCAGGGCCAGAAATGCCATACATAAAAAGAAACCAGTTGTACTGCAGTGATATAAAACATTAGTTATAAGTTTTATGAGGACTTATGAGGTTATAAATTCTATTGTGGTGCTGTAAGATAACCATTCAACCCACAAGGTCAATTTGAACTGCAAGGTTGGCAGTTCAAACTCATCAACTCTTTGGAAACCCTATACAGAGTTGCTAAGAGTCAGAACCGACTCGATGGCACTTACCAGTAACAATAACACAGATCTTTACAGGAACCGAAAGCCTCATCTTTTTTTTACAAGGTACACCTGGTGGATTTGAACTACCATCCTTGTGGTTAGCAGCCCAATGTTTAACCCATCACACTACCACAACTCCTTCTAGAAGAGTGTGGTGGTTATGTGCCGTGGAGTCGGTTCCAACTCACAGCGATCCTGTACAGGGTTTCCTAGGCTGTCATCTTTAAGGGAGCAAAAAGCCTCATCTTTCTCCCGCAGAACAGCTGGTAGTTTCAAACTGCTGACCTTGTGATTCACAGCCCAATTCATAACCACTAGTTTGTAATAATGCTGCAAACTGTGGTTTCCTTTTTATTTAGTTTAGATATAGGATCTCTAGAAATGCCAGGTAAATTTTTTTTTTTTTTTTATGCTTCAGTGGTCATTTCAGTCATGCATTTAGCATTTAGTAAGCTAGTATTAGTTCCAGAAGTGGGAGAAGAACCATCTATCAGTCTAAAGGTGATTACTGTGTGCTGTGGAGATTGGACATAGCTCCACTTCTCAACTTTTTTTCACCTGTTCTGACACCTGCTGTCCTCCCTATGTTGATATCTACTTCTGTGCTGTGTTTGGTAACTTGTTGCTGTAGCCACCCAGAAATCTCAGTCCACATTCAAAATTTTGTGGTTTATTAGGAAAGTAATAGGCTACATCTTGAGATCAGGATCAACTTGGAAATAACAGGAACAACTCAGAAAATAATTTGTCAAGACTGCTTTCAACCTAGAAAGCTCTCAGCTACTTGGCAGTACTACCTTGCAGGCCGTACTTGGCTCTAAATTGCTGGGCCCTGTTCCGGCCTGGATTTTGCTGTTGGGCCCTCCTTGGGCACGTGGTACAGTTCATGGCTCCACTGTCCAGTGCACAGTGTCATCCCACTCTGCCAGCAGGCCTTCCGTCCAAAGGCATTCAGCACTTCTTTTCTTTGTGTCTGAAATCCTACTGCGGCTGTCTTGCTCCATGGGCTGGGAAACATTCTACTGCTATCTCTGGCCAGTCTCCTAGGTCTCACTGCTTGTACTGTCTTGCATCACCCAAAGATGTGCCATCTCGAGCCGTCGCCACTGTTAATAGCTCTTTTTGTCTATTGGATCTAGGAAATTCTCAGTGTAAGGACTGTGAGTCCACAAAGAACTCACGGCTCTTCGTAATTGTAGTGAGTCCTTCTTCATCCTCTGTGGGACTGGCTCTTTTATAAGCCACATCTTCACACCAAGACCCCAAACTACTCTCTTAGATAGGTCACAGGCACTGTATTCACACAGTAAACTGTCCAATCCTTGCAGGAGTTTTACCCACTTGATTTGCTTAGTTAATTATCCAATTCCTTTGTCAGGCTGTGGCTTAGAAAATCATCTTGGCAGAACTGTGAACCCAGGGTCAGAAAGGCCTTACATAAAGAGAAACTAGTTGCACTGCAGTATTGTAAACCATTAGCTATAAAGTTTATGTTAGACAGTTGTACATTTGCCTATTAAAAGGAGTAGTGAACTTGAGATTCCCATGTTTCCCTGTATTTTCCCTTAGTTGAATATGTATACATACTAATGTGTGTGTGTCTGTGTTACTTTCCACTCTCTTCACCTGTAAATGGCCCAATCCGTGCATCTGCTGTTCCTTGGCGTGATTATTCCTGAAACTTCAAATAACTTTTACATTTCTTAACCACTGTTGTCAAGGAGCCCTGGTGGCGCTATAGGATAAACCCTGGACTGCTAACCACAATGTCAGTAGTTCAGATCCTTCACCTGAAAGAAAGATAAGGTTGTTTACTCCCATAAAGATTTATAGTTTTGGAAATTGTACATAGAATTGCTGTGTGTTGGAATAGATACAGTGGCATTGACTTTGACTTGCTTGTGTTTTGTTTTTAACAATTTTGTTGTATTGTCTTTTTCTATTTTCTTTGATTTAATAAAAAGTATGGGTATACTTTTTAGAATTTAACAGGAAATGTTTTCTTGGAATGGAATGTCAGGGTTCAGTATAGGAAATTTTATAATAAATGCAGATTGTTGTGATGCATAATGCTTTTTTTTTTTTTGAAAACAGCACTTATCATTTCATTTGTAGAATCATCTGCTTCAATTGTTGAAACTATTTGTAAAATTTTGAAAGACATTCCTGTGTTTGTGTTAACTGACAGAAGTGGAAGAGTATCAACAGTCAGAAAATGCCACTGGAGCGGAAGCCAGTCACCTGGTGGTAGAGCAGCCACATCAGCAGATTCTTCGGAGCAGCAGCACGTCAGATATCACTGAGCAGCTGTACTCAAATGCTTCTCAAGGTACGTAATACCTTAAGTTCTTAAGACATGACTGTAGATTCTGAGTGCAAAAAAAAAAGGCTGCATGTATATTGTTGTCTATGTTTATTTTAGCTAATTTATTTGAAAAGAGTTTATTCTTTAATTTGATGGAAAGGATGTAATTCTTGGCAATGAAATACATTCACTATTTATCTAAATATACGTTGTTGTTAAGTGCTGTTGAGTCAATTCAAATTCATAGAGGGTTTCCTAGAAGCAGCTGGTGGGTTTGAACCACTGACCTTGTGGTTCACAGTCTGATGCTTATCCTACAAAGCCACGCCAGAAGTCTGTACCGCACACATAAACATGAGGATGAGTCAAAAACTATCTGCACTCTGGTTACATCAGAACACCTATCCAACATCCCTGGCTGATTACAACACTGAATGTGCGCGTGGAATGATTCTATCCAATAGATGAGTGACAGTGGATTGTGTCAAAATCATTTGCAGATCAGCCATGGCTCTGCCTATGAAATAATCCATGGCAGACTTGGCTTCTAAAAGCTTGTGTGAGATGGGTACCGAAACAGCTCACAGAAGAGCATAAATAGAAGCATTTGGACATCTGAAAATAAAATATGGACCAGTAACATAAAGGAAAGTAAACGTTTCTTAAAGAAAATCATTACTGATGACGAGACATGGGTTCATCACTAAAAGCCTGAGAGTAAATGACAGAGTGTGGAATGGAAACATCCTCAATGGCAGACCAAGAAAAAGTTAAAAAGTCAACCATAACCTGGAAAATTGATGCTTACAGTTTTCTGAAATTCTCAAGGGCCAGTATTGGAATACTACTAACAAAAATGTTCAGCAATGAACAGTGCTCATTATAGTGAGATGCTCGCTAAAGAGCTGAAGCCCAAACTTTGGATTAAATGCAGAAGATGGCTATCTAAGGGCTTTGTGATCTTGCATGACAATGCACATCTGCACACCTCTGCTCACACTATTGACACTCTGCAAAAACTTCGTTTTGAGATGTTAAAGCCTCCTTCTTATAGTCCTGACCTTGCTCCATCGGACTTTTACTTACATGGTCTCCTGAAAGCAACCTATTGAGGACAAAGATTCACCTTTGATGAAGAAGTGAAGACAGCAGTGTGGCCTAGTATATTTTTAATAAGGAAATATAAAAGTTTGTTGGCAGATGCATAAAGTGTATTGAAAAACAAGGAGATTATGTTGAAAAATGATGTATTCATCTGTTCTTAAAGTTGATTAAAATAAATTCTACAACCAGAGTGTAGATAATTTTTGATTCGTTTATCTCTATCTATCTATCTATCTATCTATCTATCTATCTAACTATCTATCTATAATTTTACATATGTATGTATTATGAGTATATGTGGACTACTGGTGTGGTGCTGTAGGATCAGCACTAGACTGTAAACCACAAAGTCAGCAGTTCAAACCCATCATCTGCTCCTCAGAAACCCTACATAGGGTTGATATGAGTCAGAACCAACTCAACAGCACTTAAGAAAAATAATATGTATATATGCTTGTGTGTGTGTATGAGAGAGAGAGTGTGTGTATGAAGTCCTATGGTACTATAGGATATACAGTAAACCACAAAGTTGGTTTGAACACCAAGGTCAGCAGTTTGAACTCAATAGCCGTTCCTTGGAAACCGTATACAGGGTCACTATGAGTCAAGACTGACTCAAAGACACTTAACAACAATAGTGTGTATATATATATTAATACATACATGCATATATATATTGCTATTGTTGTTGAGTTGGTTCTGATGCATAGTACCTCTATATAGAGATTCTAAGAGGGACCTGGTGGGTTTGAACCACCGATATTGGGATTAGTAGCTTATCTTACAGCACCACCCCAGAACTCCTTTTTTCCCACAAGGACGTTCTTTTTTGGCATGTTTGAGGTAAAGAAAAAAGTCCATAGTAGCTGTAAGTAAGAGGCTAGGTCAAATTAGGTAGAACATAAGGTGATAGGATGGATTAGGGAACATGGAAGGGTTGTGAGGGACGTAGTAAAAGTTCAAAGTACCTCTTCACAGGAATTAGAATGAAGATTTGACCTGTCTTTGAAGTTTATCGGTAGCTTGAGGTTGATAACAATAATTTAGTAGCATTAATTAACACAATTTCTCCAGCAACTTTCTTTAACAGCTGGGTGTAGAAGGCAAAGAAGCAGATGGATCCATGAACAGTGAATACTGTGTTTTACTCTGAGAACACATTTAAATTGTGTCTAATGTCAAGACTATGCATCCGCTCCTCACTTTTACCAGTGAACAGGGCTAGGTTGCCCAGGCACTATGGGAAACTTCGGGAACCAAATGCTCCTTAGGCTGCAGAAGCCATTTCAAAGGAGGACCATGGGGCTGCTCCCTTCCCTGCTGCCTCCTACAGCTGCCGTCTGCAGTTCTCTAGATGCACAATGACTTCAAAACTTTATGTGAGCAGGTCTGCTTGTGCCAATTCAAACCGCAGGCAGAGATTATTGGCTCAGGATTTACAGCCAGGAGGGGACCTGTTGTTGTTGAGTGCTGTCCAATCTGTTCTGACTCAGTGACCCTGTATAGTGTTTTCGAGGAGTGACTGTTGGATTTGAATGACCAACCTTGCGATTCACAGCCCAGAGCTTTCCTACAGCGCCATACCAGGAGTCCAGGAAGGGACCTTCCCAACCCCAAATTGCTTGGAATTCTTGCTGACCATGCCCACCCACCTAGGACCACTATTCACTGGCTCAAGCCATCTCCAAGAGAACAAACTACATCTGTGGTGAAGTGACTACTGTGTATCCCATGTACTTGAGCTTTGCTCATGTATCAGGCCTTCTGCTAGCTTGCAGCCTGGCAGGGATTAGGGAGGTGTGCCTGTTAATGCTATTAATGGTGTGAGAATCGGGCCATATTTTTTTGGTTTTATTTTAGACTTTATTCAAATCCAAGACTGGGTTGGGTAGGGGTTGGATAGGATCCTTACTTGGCTTTAAGGTGATTTACGTGGATTTTTCACTATTGTTGCAAATGTGAAATGTCATATAACGAGGTAGTCAATACGTAGGGAATATGTGTATCTATCCTTTAAGGAGCTGTGGTAGCGTAGTGGTTACTAATCAGGCTGCAAACCTTAAGGTCAGCGGTTCGAAACTACCAGCTGCTCCGCGGGAGAAAGATGAGGCTTTCTACTCCTGTAAAGATTTACACCCTCGGAAACCCTGTACAGGGTCGCTATGGGTCGGAACCGACTCGACGGCACTTAACAACAACAACAACAATCCTTTAGATTTAGTTTCACAGGTCATCTACGATATGAACCAATTTATTTACCTACAAGTTACCTTATATAACAATGTTGAGGTTATGCTTGTCTCATAAAATGCGATTCTCTTAAGAAAAGATAATTTTAGATGTTTGGGAAATGTGTTATCTGAAAGCTCTGAAATGTGTTCTATGAAAGCTTTTGTATAAGATTGTTGTGGTTTTATTTTTCTTAAATATGTGGCAGAGTTCACTTGTGGTCTGGCGATTTCTTACCGAAAGTTTTAAAATGCCATTCATATTTTAAAATAATCACATGACTTCCAATTTTCTTTTTTCTTGTTGTGATTTTGGTTAGTTATAATTTTCTAGGACTTTGTTTAGTTTTTAAAAATTTATTGGCATCAGATTATTCATAAAGTCTTGTATGATCTTTTTACTGTTTGTAGGTGCTATAATGATGTTCTCTCTTTTTTTTTTTAACCACTACTGATAATTATTACCTGTTCTTTCTCTCATAAGTCTTTAATTTCAAGCAATACTGGAACCCCCTGCATGTGCTGCTCCCTTCCTCATGCCAGCTTACCTGGCTAACCCAGGTAGCTATTTTCCGAGAAATGTACCTCAGGGCCCTAGAAATGTTTCATCACCCTCCCATGTGATAACATAATGAGGCAAGTAGACTTATTGGTAAACTGGATAGTGTCTGCCATGATGAACGGCATCTTAAAAGTTCTGTGAGCAAAAGAGACCAAGTCTGTTGTTAGGATCTCTGCCCCATAGCTGCCAGTTTATAACCCCCATTTATACTTGTCTTATGATAACTAAATTTAATAATCACTTACACATAAATATTGTTTTCCAAATTGTATATATCTGAAATATTCTTCTGTTGATTTTTCCCAACCACAGCTCTAGGTCTAAAGATAGAGAATGCACAGAGCTCAAGTTTTTCAGACACTAAGCCTGTTCAAGAAAATAAAGGAATTATGAAGAAAGAACATGAAGGAGTAACAGTAAGGTGTTTTCAAACCATGTCATACTGTCATTAAAAATAAACCTTTGGATTATTGACATAGTAAATAAATTTATTGGTGACACTGATGCTTTTCTCTTAAAAAATAACTTTTTTTCATAAATAGTGGCAAATGACATGGAGATCTTTTTTTTTTTTTTTTTGGAAGTTTTTTATTGTGAATTGAGTGATAGTTTACCTGGGAGAACATCAGCTTTACATTCATCCTATCGTATTTCATTTCATTGCAATGGTAACAATCCCTTCCATGTATCATCATTCAACAGCATTTGCTTCCATTCTCTTTGTTTTTTGATGTACACCAAAGTACTCATTCAAACAACCAAAGGGTATACCCTGGAAGCCTGCCCCTCAGCCGCCAGCACACAGCCCTTTTCCCTCTCTGAGTCCAGAGTCCGCAGCTATTCCATCTCTCTATGACATGGAGATCTTTTAAGGTCTTGCTTGCTTTCTACATACAATATTGCTGTCACATTACAAAAATTGAAAAATAGAATAGATTCTCTCTTTTTAAATGAGTCTACTTGCTTATGAGACATGTAAGATAGCATATGACAGCATTTCAATGTTAATCTCCAGCTGATAAGTACTTGGAAATGTTTTGTTATGTTGTTGTTGTTTGGTGCTGTCAAGTCAATTCTAACTCATAGTGACCCTAAGCACAACAGAATGAAACACTGGCATACTCATAATTGTTGTTACACTTGAGCCCATTGCAGCTGCCACTATGCTAATCCAGCTCACTGGAGGTCTTCCTCTTTTTTGATGACCCTCTATTTTACTAAGCATGATGTCCTCATCCAGGGACTGGTATCTCCTGAGACCCTGTCCAAAGTATGAGAGACGAAGTCTCACCATCTTGGCTTCTAAGGAGCATTCTGGTTGTACTTCTTCTAACATAGATCTGTTCTTCTGGAGGTCCATGATACCTTCGGTATTCCTCTCTAACACCACAACTCATATGCATCATTACTTCTACAGCCTTACGTATTCATTGTCCAACTTTCACATGCATATGAGGCTATTGAAAATGCCATGGCTCGAGTCAGGTATACGTTAGTCCTCAAACATGTATCTTTGCTCTTGAACACATTAAAGTGCTCTTCTGCAGCAGATTTGCCTAATGTAATACATTGTTTGATTTCTTGGCTGCTGCTTGCATGAGTGTTAATTGTGGATCCAAGCAAAACGAAATCTTTGACAACCTCAATCTGGTCTCCAGTTATTATGATGTTATTTATAGGTCCAGCTATAAGGAACCTTGTTTTCTTTACATTGAGATGCAATCCATACTGAATTCTGTAGTAAGTGTTTAAGTCCTCTTCAGTAAGCAGGGTTGTATCATCTGCATGTTTCAGGTTGTTAATGAGTTGTCCTACAATCCTGATCCCAAATTCTTCTTCATATAATCCAGTTTCTCAGATTATTTGCTCAGCATATAGATAGAATAAGTATGGTGAAAAAATACAACCCTGATGTACACCTTTCTTGATTTTAAATCATTCATTGTTCTCTTGTTGTGTTTGAACAACTGCTTTGTGATCTATGTACAGGTTTCTCATGAGCATAATTAAATGTTCTGGAATACAGTTCTTCACAGTGTTATTCATAGCTTGTCATGATCTACATGATCCACCAGCCTTTCAATAGTCAATAAAATACAAGTAAGCATCTTCCTTGTATTATCTGCTTTCAGCCAAGATCCACCTGATATCAACAATGGTATCCTTCGTGCCTTGTGTGTTTTTGAATCCAGCTTGAATTTCTGACATCTCTGTCTATGTACTAGTGCAGCTGTTTTAAAACTATCTTTAGCAAAATGTGACTTGCATGTGATATTATGATACTGTTATAGGCTGTCTTTGGTTCACTTTCTTTGGAATGGGCGAAAATACAGATCTTGTCTAATCCAATGTCCTGGTAGCTGTCTTCCAAATTTCTTGAAATAGATGAGTGAGCACCTCTAGTGCTGCATCAGTTTATTGAAAGATTTCAGTTTGTATTCTGTCATTTCCTGAAACCTTGTTTTGCCAATATTTTCAGTACTGCTTGGACGTCAGTACTATTAGTCCTTTATCATACACTACCTCTTAAAATGGTTGAACATCCACCATTTCTTTTTGGTACAGTGTCTCTGTATACCTTCCATCTTCTGATGCTTTCTACATCATGCAAATTTTGTGCATAGAATCCTTTTTTTTTTTTTTTTTTTTAAATTGACCTTTGATTTTCTTCTTCAGTTCTTTCAACTTAAGCAATCCTGAGCACATTCTTTCCTTATCAATTCCTAACTCCAGCTCTTTGCACATTTCATTATAATACTTATTTTGTCTTCTTGAGCTACCCTTTGTTATTTTTTGTTCAGCTCTTTGAATTCCTCATTTCTTTCATTTGATTTAGCATGTCTATGCTGGAGAGCAAATTTCAGAGTCTCTTCTGACACTCATTTTGGTCTTTTCTTTCTGTCTGTCTTTTTAAATTACCTCTTGCTTTCTTCCTGTATAAGGCTCTTGATGTCAGTCCATACAGCTCTTCTGGTCTGCGGTCATTAGTGTCTAATGCATCATATCTGTTCTTCAGATGGTATCCAAATTCAGGTGGGATATGTTCAAGATCATATTTTAACTCTCCTGGACTTGTTTTAATTTCCTTCAGTTTCAACTTGAACTTGCATATGGGTAGTTGATGGGTTGTTCCACAGTCTTCTCCAGACTTGATTTGGCTGCTGATACGGAGCTTTTCCACCATCTCTTCCCAGAAATGTAGTCAGTTTGATTCCTGTGTGTTCTGTTTGGTGAGGTCCATGTGTATAATCCCCTTTTATGTTGTTTAAAAAAAGTATTTGTAAAGAATATGTAATTAGTCTTGCAAAATTCTTTCATGCAATCTCCACCATCATTTCTATCACCAAGGCCATATATTCCAACTACAGATCCTTCCTCTTTGTTTCCAGTCTTCGCATTCCAATCACTAGTAATTATAAATGTGTCTTGATTGCATGTTTGATCAATTTCAGACTGAAGAAGTTGGTTGTTGTTGTTAAGTGCCATCGAGTCGGTTCCCACACATAGTGACCCTGCATAGAATTTCCAAGGAATGACTGTTGAGTCTGAACCACTGAACTTGCAGTTCAAACCGACTTTGCATTCCAGTGCTTTACTCCACACTGTAGAGTTCTTCAATTTCATCATCAGTGGCTTTAGTTGTTCATACACAAATTTGAATTATGATAGTATTAAGTGGTTTTCCTTGTAGGCATATGGATATTATCCTGTCACAGACAACGTTGTACTTCAAGATAGATCTTGAAATATTCTTTTTGAAGATGAATGCTATGCTATTCCTTTTCAATTTGTTGAGAGAATAATAAGTCATATATTTGTCAGGTTAAAAATGACCAATGCCAGTCCATTTCAACTCACTAATGCCTAGGAGATCAGTTTTTATGCATTCTGTTTCATTTTGACAACTTCAAATTTTTCTGTGGAGTCCTGTTATGACACTGTGGGCTAATGCATCAGACTGCAAAATTGTTTGAACTTCAGGGTTGGTGGTTCAAGCTCACCAGCTGCTCCTTGTATACCCTGTACAGGGTTGCTGTGGGTCAGAATCGACTTGACAGCACTTCACAATTACAATAACTTTTCTATATGGCACTGTAGGATAGAAACTGGACTGCTAACTGAAAGGTCTGTAGTTCAAACCTACCAGCACCTCCTTGGAAACCCTATACAGGGTTGTCATGAGTCAAAAGAGATTCTACAACACTTAAAAAATAAAGCAAAAACAACAACAAAAAAACAAAACAACTTCATACATTCCATGTTCTGATTATTAATGGATGTATGCAGCTGTTTTTTTGTTTTTGTTTTACATGTTGAGTTATGCCCCATCAGCAAATGAATGTCCTGAAAGTTTTACTTCATTTGCATCATCGTGGTCAACTCTCTACTCGTACTTAGATGTCTAAGCTTCCTAAGGAGCTCAACTTCTGGCCCTATATCTGACAATCTTCTGGTGCTGTTCATAATGATTTTCATCCTTCAGTACTATATCTGACACTTGTTGTTGTCAGGTGCCATCGAGTCAGAACCAACTCATAGCGACCCCGTGCATAGCAGAACAAAACAATGTCCGATCCTGGGCCATCATCACTACCATTGCCACACTTGACGCCATCATTGATGCCACCTGGCTGATCCATCTCGTTGGGGGTCTTCCTCGTTTTCTCTGACCCTCAACCTTACCCAGCATGATATCCTTCTCCAGCAACTGTTCTCTTTGGACAATGTATCCAAAGTATGAGAGACAAGGCCTAGTCATCTTGGCCTCCAAGGAGCACTCTGGTTGCACTTCTTCCAAAACAGATCTATTGGTTCTTTTGGCAGTCCATGGCACTTTCAGTATTCTCCTCCAACACCACAACTCAAAGGCATCAATTCTTGTATGATCTTCCTTATTCACTGTCCAGCTTTCACATCCATATGAGGTTACTGAAAATAGCATGGCTTGGGTCAGGCGCACCTTAGTCCTCAAGCTGACATCTCTGCTCTTCAATACTTTAAAAAGTTCCTGTGCAGCAGATTTGCCCAATGCAATACGTCATCTGATCTCTTGACTGCTGCTTCCACGAGTGTTGATAGTGTTGATAGTTGATCCAATAAGAATGAAGTCCTTGACAACTTCAGTCTCTTCTCCATTGATAAGATTGCTGTTTATTGATCCAGTGGTGAGGATTTTTGTTTTCTTTACATTGAGTTGTAATCCATATGGAAGGCTGTGCTCTTTGATCTTCATCAGTAAATATTTTAAGTCCTCTTCACTTTCAGCACTATTAGCTGACACTATTCTGCTGTTATTCATAAGGTTTCCAGTGGCTGAACATTCCAAACTAGTCGACCTCTCTTCTTTCTAGTCTTTCTTAGTCTGGACGCTCCGCTGAAAGTGTCCGTCATGGGTGAACCTGCTGGTTTTTAAAAT